TCTACCTCAGACTCTTGAATGCTGGATTACAGGTGTGAGCCACTGCATTTCGCTACCCCTGGATTTTGAAAACATCTCTCCAAGATCTCTTTACTCCTCTGCAATATAGCATTTCGTCTGAAGTACGATTTCTTCAGTGTTTCGGGTACTGGAGATCCACAGTTAAGTTCTCCCCTCCCCCCCCCCCCCCCCCCCCCCCCCCCCCCCCGCACAGGACCTATACCACTGATACTTGTTTCCATACTTTCCTAGGTCATCAATTGTCTTGTCCAAACAGAAACAAACGCTTTGAAAGCGGGCAGTTTCCCTAGCTCTTTCAATCACTAAGGCCGGGTGAATTAATCTACTACTCTGGGCAGCTTTTTAGGCACCAGACAGAGGCGTTCCGTGCAGAGAGAACTCATATGGGGTCACGTGTCAACAGCGCAAAAGTTAGTAACCGATGAGCACTATGATGAAATGGGAGAGAGAGAAAAAAAAGAATAGGGTCCTAAAGAGAGATGACTGTGTTAGTTTGACGTTGACGAGCAATCCGGAAGCGCAATCCCGGCTGCGTTCAGAAACTGCTGAAAGTCTTTGTAACCGGTGATGCGGTGGGGGGCAGAACCAACACTAGGTCCTTCTGGACTGGCTCTAACTAGGGGCAGAATCGAAAACTAATGAATGCGGACATGCTTCGAAATTGCAAATCGCCAAGCAAAGCATTCGAGGAAGCAAAGGTGCACTAGGTCGCGTCGGAACCGTCTCAGTGGAATACATGTTTATTAGCATCACTGTCCGCCTCGGGTCTCAGGACTCAGAGCGTGGGTCCCGGGCTAACGTCCTGAGTAAGTCCCGAGGTGGCTGGACCAATGGGTGCACAAGCCGGCAGCGGAGCCGTGGCTCCCGGGCTCTCCGTTCCAGGACCCGGGGCGTGCAGCCGCGGACAGGCTCGCCGGGCAGAGGGAGCCCGCAGCCCGGTCCGCCTCACTCACCGATGGGCTTGTCCAGGCGCATGAGGCGCAGGTAGGGTTGCAGGGGGCGCGGCGCCGAGTTCACCACGGCCGCGGCCGACAGGCTGAGCGCGCGCCCGCGCTGCGTCCCCGGGGCCGGCGCCCACCAGTCCCGCGCGCCCGGCGCCCCTGCTGTGCGCGCCAGGGCCAGCGCCAGTCCGCGCGGACCCCGCAGCCGCGCCGGCGGTAGGGCCCGCAGGCCCCGGGCTAGCCCTCCGCCTCGCAAGCATAGCATGGCGCTCAGGCTGGACGCCGCCTGGTGACGTCATCCAGGGCGACACGCCGCGGGCGGGCGAGCATGCGCAGTGCTGCCGTGTTAGGTGCGCGGGTAGGTGTTCCCTTGGTTTGCAGGCGTGGGCCTGTGCGCTCTGTGTGTGTGTGTGAATTACGTAAACTAAGTTGTTGTTGTTGTTGTTTAATTAAGGGAAGCTGTTTATTCGAGGGTGAACCGGAGTTTGACGGTCAGCCAAAAGGGATGCAAACAACTTGACTCAGATCAACTTCAGAGCCGGGCGGTGGTGACGCTCGCTTTTAACCCCAGCACTCGGGGAGGCGGGGGCAGGCGGATCTCTGAGTGGAGGCCAGCTTGGTCTACAAAGGGAGTCCCGAAAAGCCACGGTTACACAGAGAAACCCTGTCTGGCGAGAGAAAATATGGAAGAAGACCTCACAACTTTATGGCAGCCTTCATGGTAGCCAGCCCTTGCATGTTGCTATGTACCAGGCACCCAGCATGTGTTAACCCACGTAATCCCCTCACTAACTGGCTCTGGGTAAATCGCTTATCTGGACTCCTGTGTTTTGAGACGGCCGAGTATCCTTTTCGGTCCCTTTCCTTAAAAGCAGGTGCAGTGAGTTCTGTGATACCTGTGTAACAGGTTGCTGGCCTGACCTTTGGGGGGAAATGCAGCAGGGGGCGCGCTGGCCTTTCTCTGCAGTCTGAGACGCGCTGCTGCTCCTTGATCTTTTAGCCATGTCCCAAGAACGGAAACAATGCAATGTCAGTCATCTGTTGTTTGCCAGTTGAGCTCTGAATTCTCTACAAGTTTGCGGCCTCCTTTCCAAAATGTTGTCTTCATGCTGTTTGTTTGTTTGTTTGTTTTTGTTTTGAGCACCTTCGGAGGTCAGAGGTGCCCACCACGCCAAAGAGAAGGCATTTTCACACTTGCACGTTATTTCCATTTGCCTGGAGTTCCCAAAACAATATTTAACATTTAAAAAGCATTGTGAATGCTTTCAATTTTAGAGGGGGAAAGACGATAAAACTGATTTTTAAAATTTGCTTGATTCCTTTATTTGAAAAATGTGTCTTAAAGTCCATCAACTTTCTGACTCCCAAACCCACTTCAGTCACCTCATCTAGTGCGGGCGGTGTTCACGTTATAAGACGAGACCGTGTCCAAAGAACAGTTACTAGCATGAGGCAGGAACCCCGGAGGCACTCACGGCCCTCTGCCCTGTTCTGTGAACCTCGCAGAAGTGTTCAACCATTTTCATTGTGACATGATGTCTGTGGCTTTCCATGGGCCACATACTACATAAACAAACGCATGTAATAAATGTTTGTTTTTTTAAGAAAAAAGTAAAAATAGTTTAAAAAATCATATGTCCTGACAAGTTTCATCCCTGGACTTGGAAATTATTATTTTTGTGGAGATGTTGTGAACCACAAGGGTGAAATAAACAGTGAAAATCGTTAGAACAATAAGATAACTTGCAGATTAAAAGCTAGCAGGCAGGTCAGCTTAAAAAGTCTCACTAACACAGCAGACAAGCATTCCCCCTCAGGGAGCTTAAGAGGAACTTAATATTAAACTTTAATATTAAAAAGTTTGGGGAGCTGGAGAGATGGCTCAGAGGTTAAGAGCACTGGCTGCTCTTCCAGAGGTCCTGAGTTCAATTCCCAGCAACCACATAGTGGCTCCCAGCCATCTCTACAGGGGTCTGATGCCCTCTTCTGGCATGCAGGTGTACATGCAGTCATATATATAAAATATACATTAAAATGTGCTCATACATATAATTTAAAAGTTTAATAATAATTAAACTTTAATATTACGTCTAACATTTAGTAACGTGACTGTGAGCAGTATTCTTCACACAACCATGTCTTTTTCATCTAACTATCCACAATTAGCACTAGCTTACCAGCCCTTTATTGCTCATGCCTCTTAAACTTTTAGGGTTTTTAGGCTGAATTGGGCATGGTAGCTCTGGTTGGCCTGGAGTTAGACTAGGGCAAAGGCTGATGAAAAGGTGGGTGCCAGGTGCTGAAGGACCTTATGGGCCTGTAAGAAATGAATGGAAAACCATGTAAACATCCCAAGCAGGGCATGGAGAACAGGTGGTTCCATGGCTAAAAGCACTTACTGCTCTTGGAGGAAACCCGACTGAAATGCCCAGGACATGTGTCGGGCAGCTCACAATCATTTGTCACTGAAGCTCCAGGGGATGTGATGTTCCTGTCCTCTGAGGACACCTGCACCCATGTGCACCCCCCACCACACACACACAACTAAAAATAGTAAAAAAAATACATCTTAAAAGAGTTTGAGGCAAAACAGTGAATGAACAACTTAGATGTTGCCATAATCATACAAGTAAGAAAGGAAGCTTTGAGTTTATTCAGTGGAAATGGGACAAGGGAAATGAGTAGATAAGTCAAGACTTTGTGACTGAAGTAGGAAGTTATGTTTATGCCTGATGATTCCTTTTCTTCATAGTCAAGTACTATGTTGGGAAGGATGAACAAATATAGGTATGAGTATACAAAAATTCGTGAAGGAGAAGGAGGCTTCATTCATTCATTCTTACGTTTCCGTTCATTCATTTTACAATGCTGAAGATCAAACCCAGGGCCTTTTGTCTGTGCTAGCCACAAACCCAGGGCCTTTTGTCTGTGCTAGCCACAGCTCCAATCCTTTAAAACCAGACTTTCAAACATAAGATCCTGCAAGCTTTAGGTTTATTAGAAGAATAACCATGCAAATTAAGGCTATAAAATTAGTTTATTTCAAATGTGAAAATATAGAAACTACCTGCATAAAAATTTGAGAGTAGTGAAGCATACAAACTTTAAGGTCTAGCTTCATCAATGTACTTGAATTCAATTGAGATAATATTCATGGTAGGCACAAAACGTATAGAATTATAATCCTTAGGAGGATTAAAACCCTGGGGGAAAATAATTGCATTTTGTTACTTGGTCAAAAGCATAGGGCTGTAATGTCCAGTGCTGTGGACTCCAAATCTCCCTGTCCCAAAGGAAGATTGCTTGAAGGCAATTATAGACATCAAACGGTCATGGACGGTGACTGGAGAAACCACCACAGACCTATTCCGAGCCTGTAAGACTGCAGAGACTTGAAGAAGGGTTTGCTGGGAAAGCCTCTGAGAAAGAGATCTTCAGGTCTGTGGAGAAACCATACATCCTTTCCCTCTGGTTGCTGCCAGAGCTCAGTGAATCTGTAGGACCAGTTACAACCATTATGTGGCCAGGCCAAGAGGGGAGCCAGCAGGACTGAGGGGGAGAAAGAAGATGGACCCCCATGACGCGCCCAGCTGTTGGGCCCTTCCTCACTTGAAGAAGTTCTTATGTGGGGTTATAAGTGTCCTCATTTAGAGGTTTCTGTTACTCACAGGCCAAGGCTCCCAGGAGAAGGGAGAACTAACAGTTTAGGAAACGTAAACACTCGCAGACATTGCAGGGAGTCAGGTGTTCCCTAAAACTTCTCCCACCTAACCTCGTCCTCTGCGGCCACTGCAAACGTTCTGCCATCCCTTCCATCTCAGCTGGGGTCACTGTTTTCTTTTTTGTCCTTTGTTTAATTCTACCCCACCCAGCCATGTGTCCTCTCACAGACTCGAGAAGAGGCACAGGGTCCAGTTCTCCCCCTCTTAGTTCCTCTCAGCGGGTGAGCAGGTGTCTCCTACAGTCAGTGTGGGGTTGTAGTGATGAGCTCCACTGGAGCTCCAGAGAGGCTCCTGAAGGACACACTTGACAATCCGCTAGCCATAACAGTAAGAATAGAACAGAAACAAAGCTTTAAAACAAATCAGGACATCTTCTTCCTTGGCCTCTGGGTCATACTGGAGGCACTCCCGTACATTTTTTTAACACCCCCAAAACACTGTGTGCAAAGCGCTAAGCATCATTCGGCACGAGGAGCCATCACCTGCAGTGTTCTCCTTAGATGCCATCACCCCACTCCTTCAGCCCTCCCCAGCCCTGAAGTGTGATAACGAGTCGGCCTTCCTACAGCTGGAGTTTCGCTCCACTCTTCTGAATAACACCCGGCCGCTTTTTGTCTCAGGGCTACCGCATGCCTTTTATTTTCATACACAAGCAGCGATTTTGGCATTTCTTATGACAAAAAACCCATAGGAAAAGGCAGGCACGCCTAGTGAGCTGCCCGCACGGAGAGGTTTTTCTGTTAAGGCTGGCAGAGTCTGGTCATCCACCATCTTCAGGGTCTGACCATTCAGCTGGACAGATCTACAAGGGGTGGGGGGGGGGGGAAGACACACTTGAGTTAGGCAGGCTGCGCGTGCACTGTGGCCCCTACAAAAACTGTGAAAGAATTTTTAGACCAAGGAGGATTCTTGTGGCAGCTTGTGGTGAGCTTAGGTGTTTGACCAAGACAAACTTAGAGCTGCAGTGGGAGAGGAAGTAGCTGGGCGATAACCACACTGCTGGGTTGCCATATTACTATCTGGTCTTTTACAGAACATCACAGATTAGGTACCTGTTGTAGCCTGTTTTCTGAGTCGGGGTCACATACTATAGCTCAGGCTGGAACTTACTATGGAAACCAGGCTAGCCTCAGACTCCTAGTGATCTTCCTACCTCCATTACACCCAGGTACTTTTTTTTTTCTTAAACTTTTTTGTTGTTATTGCCAAACACTGACAGGATTAATGAGTTATTTTTATGCCATATATGGAGTACACGTGACATATGCTTAACATCACTACGTCTGTACACAATAAGTGCTGTGAAAATATTATCTGTCACCACTTTTCATACAAATGGACATAACAAGCCAGGCCTGTAATCCTAGCTGTCAGGGGTGGAGTCAGGAGTTCAAAGACAGCTTTGACTATACAGGCGACAGGAGACTCCATCTCGAAAACCCCTAAAACAAACCTAAACCCAACAAAAGCCATCTAGTACATCATTCTACTTTTAATAACTTGACATATTATTCCGTCGATCTATACTTTCTTTGGTTTGTTTGAGACAGGGTTTCTCTGTGTAGCCCTGGCTGTCCTAGACTCATTTCATAGACCAGGCCTCAAACTCACAAGAAATCTGCCTATCTCTGTCTCCCTGAATGCTGGGATTACAGGTGTGAGCACCGCCCCTGGCTTTCTATACCTTTTTATAGAAAATTTCCTATTTCTATGAATTTTTATATTCTATATATCTTTTTATACAAATAAACACATTTTACTTGACAAAAAAAAGGGTATACTATGTATATTTTCTTGAAACTTCTTTTTTATTTAATATATCCTCATGCTTGTCCACATCACACAGCATTCATCCACTGCATCGTGTTAATGGACACACAGGATTCTATGATATGAGCTTATTAGTGTATTTCCTTAACCCTCTACTTCTTGTTTCCATGTGGCATTATCCTGTGCTTTTCTCTTTTCTCTTTTTTTTTTTTTTTTTTTGGTAGGGTCTCTCTTTGTAGCCCTGGCTGGCCTAGAACTGACGAGGTAGACCACACTGGCTTTGAACTCACAGAGATCCACCTGCCTCTACCTCCTGAGTGCCGAGATCAAAGGTGTGCACCACGGCATCCTGCGTCACCTCCCATTCTCACTAGCAGCAGTGGGTAGAAGCCAGGTTCCACATAACCTTGGCTCGGCACCAAGTCACATGGCGCAGGACATGCTAACGACATACCACGATTGTGCCATAACCTACCAAGTCTACACTGAGGCTTTGCTTTGGTTTCTACACTTATGTATCACATCGTATTTTAGATGAGGAGGTGGAGGAAATATGACCATCTTCAGGAAACCACAAGCAAAAATAGGTCTTGAAAAATACCTCTGAAAGGCAGTAGTGAGGGTGCTTCGCATGAAATGAAGGACCATTTGAGAACGCCTAATGGAGCCCTAGAATAAATTTTGGTGCTTTGGTACCTCGACTAGAACGTAAATCTGACTGCTGTGAATTAATGGTGCTGTGTAAGACAGGGACACAGCAGGATCCCATGTGCTCAGGCTGTGGCGGTTCATCGGCTGCACACACAGAAGCGCTCTAAGGATTTGTGCGTAAGCGGGTTCCACAGTGAGGGTGGGGCTTATCTGAGGGCTGTAACTTGTTTTGTGTTTTGAAAACAGAAACAGGATGAGGAAACGGAAGACACGTCTATTAACCTACAGGTGAGATGAAGGCTTAAGGAATTAGTAAGCAATAGGTTGAGCAGAGCTGAGGAGCCTGGACACTTGCTGCCAGGCCTGACAGCCTGCGCCTGATCCACCCCCCTCATCCCTCCCCACCCCACCTGATCCACACTGTGGAAGCACAGAACTGACCTTCACGTGCTATCCTTTGACCTCTGCACTTAGGAATGCACACACAAAATGTATTTAGAAACAATTCAAATAGTTATCTAGAAGCACATTTCCAGCCAGACAGGTGGTCATCAACAAGAGGAGTATCTTTTCACAACAAATAATCTAAATGCGTAAGGTACTTTACACACTTTAGACACCAACCCAACCACAAACCCTCTTCTACAATGGTGTCCTGCCTGTAAGATATGCTAGGAAACTGGTGGCATTGCTCTAGCAATGCTTGTTGGAGTAACCAACAAATAACTGATCTGACTTAAGGTCCACTCCACAAGATGGAATCCACACCTGACCCTGGGTGGGTGTGGGTGACCAAGAACCTGAGACGAGATAGCTCAGGGACCTACGGAAAAACTAAATGACACTGGCCTAAAAAGACAACAAAACTATATTTTCATGTAGTGGTAAAACAACTCTTAATGACATTCTGCTATACTCATGGCTCACTTCCTTTTTCAGCCATCATCAAAGAAGCTTCCTCCTTCAGCAGATGGGAACAAATACAGAGACCCACAACAGACATTACACAGAGCCCTAAAAAGGGGATGTCTCCATCAAATCCCTCCCCTCAGAGCTCAGGGAATCCTGAGAAGAAAAGGAGCAAAGACTGTAAATCCAGAGGGGATGGAGGACACCAAGAAAATAAGGCTTTCTGAGTCAACAGGAGCAAAGCTCACATGAGCTCACAGAGACTGAAGCAGCGTGCACACATCTGCGCAGATCTGTGCCAGCTCCTCTGTATATAACATGGCATCCAGTTTAGTGGTTTTGGTGGGGGGAGCTCCTGAATGTGAGAAAGCAGTTCTCTGAGTCTCATGCCATCTTTTGGGCTTGTTTCCTTCTGTTGGCTTGCCTTGTCCAACTTCGATGTGACAGTTTTTGTTTTGGCTTATATTTTATTTTGTGATATATATTATTTGTTTTGTTTTGTTTTACGAGACAGGGTTTTTCTGTATAGCCTTGGCTGTCCTGTAGCTCACTTTGCAGAACTCACAGAGGTCTGCCTCTGCCTCCCAAGTACTGAAATTAAAGGCATGCGCCACCAACACCTGGCTATTTTGTTATATTTTTTGAATGAATGAATGAAAATATAGCTACTGGGGTAAAGGTTAACAACTGAACTGTCACTTATACCATCTGGGAGCTGGAAAGTCAGTTTACTCCAACAGAGAGACTCATCCACCTCCCCAGGGCAGGAGGAGACAACATTGAACGACTCCACAGTGTTTTTGTGTGCTTTCATTTGGTTACAGTTTGGCAGGGTTGTTTGTTTATCTGTTTTGGGTGTGTTTTCGTGGTTTGGGGAAGTTTGTTGTTATATTGGGTTTTCATTTTTTTGAGAGAGAACTTAAAGTCGAGTGGGTAGGGAAGGAGAGGAACTGGAAGGACTTAAGGGAGAAGAAGACTATGGTCAAAATGTATTTCAACTTAAAAATGTAAATATAAAAAAAATGTTAGAATGTAATAGATGCCCTTTTCCTTCCTTAAAAATCCCTCTCTATACTAATAAATGCCAATAAACTTACATAAAGTTTGCAATTGACAAGAAGACGTACTCACTGGGAAAGCAACCCATCAGGTCCAAAAGGCCTTAGGAGGTATTTATCCACTGGCTTGTGAAACAGTTGGTATGGCAGCTTCAAGTGCTTGGTGGCATTATGGAGGTTCAAGACATACAGAGTTAAATCTCCTTCCTGGTACTTTGGACTAAAAGCAGACAGGTTAATTCAGTCACACATTTGACTGATTTATACAGCGAAACACTTGAACACGCACGCAGTCACACATACCGAGAATCCGCATTTATAACGGTGGCAGGGCCTTTTAGCATCCTTCTCTAGGATGACGTTAGACTGATCGTGTGGCCGTCTTTTGAGAACTAGAAAAGCTGCGCTTCCCATCACCACCTCCCGAGACAGGACCCTAAGGTAGCCGGCCCTGAGGAAGGGCCCCTGAGAATGCACACACATGTATGTACCTGAGCACACTTGAATACACACGTGCACCCCATGTGTGAAGATGCACATATACGAAACCACACGAAATATAATAATCACACAAAATAAAAAATAATTAAAACCGACAAGAGACAGGCATGCCGTGAGGCAGAGGCAGGTGGATCTGAGTTCAAGGACCAGCCTGGTCTACATGTACTGTGTATGTTCTTGTGAGTGAGCACACAAGTGCTCATGTGTGTGGAGGCTAGAGAGTGACATTAGATGTTTTTCTTTTTTTCTTTTCTTGAGGCAGGGTCTCTCATTGGCTTGGAGATTCAGACAGACTGGCCAATCAGCACCCACTGTGGGTCCCTTTGTGTCTGCCTTCCTAGTGCTGTGATCTCGGGCATAGCATCCATGGCCACATCCAGCTCCATCTACATGAATGCTGGATACTGAATTCAGGTCCTCATGTTTCCAGGCAACTGATCTGTATCCCAGCCCCATTAACATTTTTCTTGTTGTTTTTTGTTTTCTGAGATAGCGTTTTTCTGTGTAGCTTTGACTGTCCTGGACTCACTTTGTAGACTAGGCTGGCCTCAAACTCACATGGATCCCCCTGCCTCTGCCTTCCCAAGTGCTGAGATTACAGACATGCACCACTCTGCCCAGCTTGTGCTAGCAATTTTTTGAAGTTAGATTCTGGTATCATGAAGAAAAAAAAAAGAAAGGATTAAGAAAAATGACACAGTTCAGATCCATTACAAAGCTAGAGGGCAGCTGGGGTGTTGAACAAGGAAGTTACGCTCTCACCAGCTCAAACTGTTGTTTGGCGAAGGGTGTGTTTCGTACTTACTGGTAGATGTTTGTGCAGTGGAGATAAACTCGAAGTTTGTTTCTGTCTGAGCCTTTCACTCGTGCCATTAGCACCCTGGGACCCACCAGTTTCTTGAACAGGAGAGAGAGCCAGTAATCCTAATTCATTCAGAGTGAGGGACAGAAGACAGAGCTCTGGTTGTTTTCTTATTCGTATTTAACAAGCCAGAAGCAACTAACCAGCTATCTTACAAGAGTGACAATATGGCTACCCTGAAGGAGTGAGTTCTAACCCAAATAAATACGCTATCATAATATTTTCAGCAAGAAAGTTGAAATATTGGCTAAATATATTCAAATCATTCTCTCTCTCTCTTTTTTTTCAAGACAGGGTTTCTCTGTGCAGCCTTGGCTGTCTTGGAACTCACTCTGTAGACCAGGCTGGCCTCAAACTCAGAGATCTGCCTGCATCTACCTCCCAAGTACGGGGACTAAAGGCATGAGTTACCATCACCTGGGCCTTTGTGTTTCTGATAGGAAATTAAGAATCAAGAATCATTTTTAAAATATTGTTCAAAAGCCAGGAGTGGTGGTACACACCATTAATCCCGACACTCTGGGAGGCAGAAGCAGGTGGATTGCTGTCAGTTTGAGGCCAGCCTAATCTACCAAGTGAGTCCAAGACAGCCAAAGCTACACAGAAAAAAAATCCTGTCCTGAAAAAAAAAACAATAAATAAATAAATAAATAAATAAATAAATAAATAAATAAATAAATAAATCAATAAATGGAATCTTGTTCATGTGGAGTGTGATATGCATAAAAATTTGAATGATTGTTTTGCAAAGCAAGTCAGCCAAAATCGCTGTTCTAGGGCTGGGAGGGTGGCTGCTGAGGTAGGAGTGTTTGTTGCATTTTGTGTTTCCTTCTGGTTTGGCGTTTGTTATTTTTAAACAAGAACTCTGTCACGAAGCCCTGGCTGTCCTGGAACTCACCTGTAGACCAGGCTGGCCTCAAATTCAGAGATCTGCCTGCCTCTGCCTCCCAAGAGCTGGGTTTAAAGGTGTGCACCAGCACACTCCACCCTTGTTTCACACTGGAGCCTCGGAAACTGTGCAAAGCCTGGCCCAGCAGTGTTCATCTCTAGTCCCAGAGCTCGTATGAGGAGACAGGAGGTGGAGACAGGAGAATTCCCACAAGTTTGGGGGCCAGATATTCTGGTGTATCCAGCAACGAGCAGAGAGGCCAACAGGAGAGGTTTGTTCACTGACCTTCATACAAACTCTATGGCACACACGGGCCTGCATTCATACACATACATACTTACTGTGATACACACATGGAAAAAAAATGCTATCTAGCTATCAGCAAAGGTTCAGAATTTTTAAAAATACTTATTTATTATTTATCTGTTCTGCCTCTATGTGTGTCTGCACACCAGAAGAGGGCACCAGATTGTTGTGAGCCACCATGTGGTTGCTGGGAATTGAACTCAGGACCTCTGAAAAAGCAGCCAGTGCTCTTAACCTCTGAGCCATCTCTCCAGCCCCAGAGTTCTTTATGCCATACAGGTGTGGTGATTCCTGCCAGTAATCCCACACTTAAGAGGCTGAGACAGGAGAATTATCAGGAGTCAAGGCCAGCCAGTTTTCATTGTGTTTCAAGCCTGGGCAACAGAGGAAGACCCTGTCTCAACAACATTAAATTATGTTATTATAAAGTCATAAAGTTTGTCTAACTTTGCAACATACCAGGGTTATGTGTTTTTTTTAAAAACATCATCCTAATAATTAACTATTTTTCCATAGTCTTCAAGATACAGGTCAGGTATGTTGGTACATGTCTTTAATCCCAGCAAGCAGAGGCAGGCAGATCTCTGTGAGTTTGAGGCCAGCCTGTTCTACATAGTGAGTTCCAGTCCAGCAAAGGGCTGCTATATAGTGAGACCTTGTCTAAATGTATACATATGTGTGTATATATTTGTACGTATATAATAATCTTTAAGATATTATGAATAAATTTTCATTTCTACCCTATCTCATACTGTATTTGATGCTAAGTGAGAAAATTTAAACTTTTATCCAAAACTCTGCCTAGTGTGTGTGTCTGTATGTGTGAGAGTGTATATGAGTATTACGAGAGAGTGTTATGACTGTGTGATTGTGTGTGATTATCTAAAAGTTAAGGAATAGAGCCGGGTGCAGTGGTGCATGCCTGTGATCCCAGCACTCAGGCTGGCTTCAAACTCACTATGTAGCCGAGGCCTTAAACTTCTGATTTTCTACTTCTGCCAACCAATGGGGATCACAGGTGTGCATCCCACAGGTGGCTTCCATTGATACGGACTAAGAAGGTCAAGGTAATGCTTCTTAGAGCTATTATCACACCTTAACTTTGATTGTTTTGTTTTGATTTGTTTTTGTTTTTTTGTTTTTTTGTTTTTGTTTTTTTTTTTTGTGTGTGTGTGTGTGTGTGTGTGTGTGTGTGTGTGTGTGTTTTTGAGACAGGGCTTCTCTATGTAGCCTTTACTGTCCTGGACTCACTTTGTAGAACAGGCTAGCCTCGATCTCACAGAGATCTGCCTGCCTCTGCCTCCCCAAGTGCTGGGATTGAAGGTGTGCGTCACTGTACCCGGCTAAATTTTTGTTTTTATGTATGGGTGTTTTGCCTGCATTTGTGTGTGTGTGCCACTCTCATACCTCGTGATCGCAGAGGCCAGGAGAAAGCATCAAATCTCCTGAAACTGGAGTTACAAACAGTTGTGGGCCACCGTGTGGGTTCCAGAATCTGAACCCAAGTCCTTTGGAAGAGCAGCCAGTGCTGCTAAACTTAACTGCTTATCTTAACTTATCTTAAGTGCTGAGCCATCTCTCCAGCCCTTCTAAGAATAATTCTTAAGAGAATGATTTGAAGCTGGGTGCAGGGGCACTCACCTGTAATCCCAGCAGTCAGGGAGGCAGAGGCAGGTAGATCTCTGTGGGTTCAAGGCCAGCCTGGTCTATAAAGTGAGTCCAGGACAGCCAGGGCTACACAGAGAAACCTGTCTTGAAAAACAAGAAACAAAAGAAGAGAGAATGATTTTAATATATGGAGCCAGTATTTAGCTCTTCACTGAGGAGCTGACTGTTGGAGGTTAGTACAGGCCCAAACCGACACCCACCTATTCGGACCCAGGCACTTACAGGTAAGGGCTGGAAGGTCTCATCCACCAAGTGGTAGTTGCCCGCTCCAAAGAACACCTGCCTCATCACCACATCTATGCCCAGCTGAGCTGACAGGCCCAGTTTATCCAGCCACCTGCGACAGTGACACCAGCTTTCGTTAGATCGGAAGACAAAATAGTTCCATCCTCATTATAAGTAGATTTGTTCATCTACATGGAAGGACTTAACAGGAAACTACAAGAACATTAATTACAAATAAGTCATCCAAAAGAGATGGTGATGGAAGCTTCACACACACACACACACACACACACACACACACACACACACACACCCTCCCATATGATAACATGCTTTACCTAGAACAATGCTAATAGGCCAGAGGGCAAGACAGCGTCTACAGAGCAGAATAAAAGTCACCTACCCGGTAGACAACTCCTTATCCAGTGGCCTTGCTCTCTATCCCTATTAACACACACACACACACACACACACACACACACACACACACACACAAAGACTGGAGAGAAGGTAGCTGTCAACAGTGTTCGAATGAACCACAGAGAACCACAACCAAACCACAATGATCACTTCCCCCCCACCTTCAGTGAATGGCAAGGAAAACTGTTTATTTCCCATTTTCTCGTGCACCATGAACACTGAAGGCTTGTGCTTTATTCTAACTGATAACAAGGAAGAAGGTGGGGATTGGAGCCTCAGCGGGAGCGACAGAATGCAGAGCATGGAGACAGTGAGCTGCCGGACAGTGAGGTGTTGCAGCCAGTCCTGAAGTCCAAAGGTCACCTTCTGAGTGTGATGACATTCTAGAGCTAAACTTCTTGCAAAACAGCTATTATACACTTAGCAGCCTCAGAGCCCAAACTCTGGGTGAACTCCCATCCTCATCCCTCCCCTCCTCCGCCTTTCTTTCCTGTTCCCTCTCCTCACCCCACCTCCTTCCTTTTCCCACAGGGGTTCATGATGAACACCCATCCTCCTGCTGTGGGCTCCCCAGTGCTGGGATTATAGGCAAGCCGCTGCCCCTGGAAAACAGCAACCTTCCTTAGAGAAAACACTGTCACGGTTTGCACCTGAAATGGCCTCAGCTAATGGTGTCTGTGTGAGGCAGGAGGGCCTGCTGGAGGAAGCAGGGCCTCATGGGGGAAGGATATTAAGTCCTCCTAGCTCCTACTCTTTTCTCTTTTGCTTCTGATCACCCATGAGGTGAGTGATTTCCACTACCACATGCCTCGGCTATAATAGTCTGCTTCATAGATCCAAGGCAACAGGATGGAGCAAAGGCTCTGAAAGCCCCCGAAAGTGAGCCTAACTAACCCCCCCCCAGCTCCCTAAGTAGCTAGAATTACAAATGCGTGCCCACCATCCTCAGCCACACTTGATAAAAATGATTCTAGCTGGCAGTGGCTGATTGGGGACACCAATTAAAGATGTTCACCAAGGTTTAGCAGACCACTTTAGATAAAAGTGTATGAGCGTTTTGCCTGAGTGTATGTTTGTGTAGCATGTGCATGCCTAGTACCTGTGGAGACTGTAAGAGGGGGTATTGGGTCTCCTGGAACTGCAGTTAGAGATGGCTGTGAGCCACCGTGTAAGTTCTGAGACTTGGAACCCAGTCCTATAAGTACAGCCAGTGCTCTTAGCCACTGAGACATCTCTCCAGCCTGGAAAACAACTTTTTTAAAAATAAGTCCTGGCACAAAATCTCAGGGCTCTGCCTCAGAAATTGTGTTTGATGAGGGTTTGCCTGACATTGGTGGATAGAAAACATCTGGAATCTGAGCCCAAAGCCTCCACCGCATTGTTGGAGTGTCTTGTGCACTCTTTCAAAGATGCTGATTTTAGTGCCCTGAGATCTGGTTACTGCCCTGCTATGGGCATGATTATGACTGTTGAGCCAGCTATTGTACCCATGTGATGTAAGGAACGTTCCAAAATTATCCCTGATTGGCTAAATAAAGTCGCCTACACCTGGGCAGGGCAGAAGTAAGGTAGGTGTAAGGAGTAGAGGTTCATGGGAAGGAGGAGGAGGAGACAGGTAGAGGAGAAAGAAGGAGAGCTGTCATGGTAAAGAACCGTGGGACAGGAGGAGTAGACCGAGCATGGCGAGGAGAGGAGCAGCCCAGGCAGGAAGCACGTGCAAGTATTGACGGGGATATTGGATGAGGAGTAGCACGATAGGGATGATTAGAGCAAATGGCATAGGATGTGGAGCTGACAGGTAATGTGATAGCTTAGGGGGTTTATATCTGCCCGGCCCCAGGTGAAATAAGGCTATTCCAAAATCTATCAGGTGTCCGGGTCTGTTGTTTGACAGGGGGTTAAATAAAACTGCCATAATAATTATAGGCACTTAATAATAAAATGACCTGCCCATATATCTTCAGCAATGCAGCATCACTCACATAAAGCCAGCTGCAAAGGTGTTGGACAGCAAGGGCGCCCCACCGCCGTAGGCAGAGCTGGTCTCTCCCAACCAGACCTTCTTGCCAGGACTCATCTCCTTCGTCACCTGGGGAACAGGAATGGTTCCACAGTCATTGGGAACAAGTGAAGCACCACAGTGCTGGGTGTGAGCAGCATGCGAAGCTTTGCCCCTCCAGACTTGTCTATCCCCTTCGTTACAAGCATATTCATAACCACTTAAGTCTTCGCCATAATCTTCTATGGGCCTACTAGAGTGTAGAAGGAATATAAAATAAATATGGCCTATAAAAGTCAACTTGACTGAAAGGCCGTTAGAAGTATTTCAATTTCCAATTACCACAACTGAATAAGATCGAATGCTAGGGAGGAACCCAAGGAATAAGACATGGTGCTTAGCCATTAAAATTAGAAAGATATGTCAATACATATATCCACAGACATCATCGGGCCATACAATAGAGACTTGTGTGGCATGATTTAGAAGGACTATTACCTTTAGAATTTTTCGCACAGATAGAATAAAAGTGTCTAGCACATCAGGACTCAGGAAATCTTCCTTGGTAGCAATGCGTCCATCCAAGTAGTAGCTAAATTATTCAGAAAAAAAAAAAAAAAAACATTATTTTACTCCCTGCTGTTAAGTCAGTTCTGAGCCTTGCTCTTCTTCCAGCCTTTCTCATCATGATTGTTTTTAAAAAGGCAGAAGTTGCACCAGGAGGAACCAGTGCAGGGAAGGGACTATTTCATCCAAACAACTATAGATCAGCTCTTCCACCCTTAAGAAGAGACAGACAAAATACACTCTTCCACCTTAACAAGAGTCAGGCTAAACACAGGTGCTCAGGGTTGCTTATTCTTTGGCAGGAAGCTGGTCTTACCTGCTTATGTAGCTCCTGGCTCAGTTGGCCTTGTACCTCTATCTTTGTAGAAATCACCACATTATTTAAAACAACATTGCATCTTTGTTTTGTTAATATTAAAATTCTTCTACAGTGACATTCAAGATGCTGCCCGCATATTACTTGAACTTTTAAAAGTCACACAAGGATAACTTCTTGAAAACCAGTAGTAAGTACAACTGGAATTACTTTTAAAGCATTAAGAATTCTTACTCTTGGGCTGGAGAGGTTCTGTGGTGCTCCCTCCCCCAAGGACCACTGGGTGCAGGAAAGAGGTTCCAGATCACAGAATAACTTTCCTGGACGAGCTTCAGCAAGACTGCTCAACTCTATTCAGGGTGAACAAGCGCTATATGATTCTTGGATGGAGGGCTCCCAGGGTAGATGTACCATATTGGCTGGGGCTTCAAGTGCCAGGAATGCTTTATTTGCATTTGACAGCTCAGGCCTATCACATGAGTAGGAACATAGTACCTCATTATCCTATGGGCAGCAGTAGGGAGAGTGCTAGCAGGGAATTATGTCAAGGTACTCCAGATATGGTTAGAGGCATCTGTGCCCAGAGACAATCTCCAGATAGGTCAGGCAGCGACTAAGAAGCCCCTACCAAGAAAGGGACTCCTGTATTCTGTGCTGAGCTTCAGAAAAGCTGTCCAGACACAGTGGACTGCCACCTCAAACATCAGGGTTCTCCAACAACATGGCTCACAGGTTAAGAGCACTAGCTAATCTCCCAGAGGATCCAGGTTCAATTCCCAGCACCCAGATGGCAGCTCACAACTATCTGTAACTCCAGTTCCAGGAGACCTGGCACCCTCACATAGGCATAAATGCAGGCAAAACACCAATGCACTTAAAAATAAATAAATCTTTAAAAATATTTTTAAAAAGAATTCTTATTCTTTTGCTGGGAGGCAGTGGTACCAACACTTACAAGTGTTGGTAAATCCAACACTTGGGAGGAAGAGGCAGGTAGATCTGAGTTTGAGGCCAGCCTGGACTACAGAGAGAGTTCCAGGACAGCCAAGGCTACACAGAAAAACCCTGTCTCAATAATTTCTTTTTTTAACTATTTATTTATTTATTTATTTATTTAGAGATAGAGTCTCACTCTGTACCCTTGGCTGACCTGGAAGAACTCAACATGTAGACCAGGCTAGCCTCAAACAGAGTCACTGAGTGCTGAGTTGTGCAGCACCACACCTAACTTATTTTTATATGCAAATGTGTGCTTGTATGGGCCTAAATGCACCATATGTGTGCAGAGCCCCTGGAGGCCAGAACAGGGTAATGAATCCCCTGGAAATAAGAGTTCCAGCCAGTTGCAGGCTGGAAACCAAACCCACATCCTCTGTAAGAGCAGCCAGTGCTCTTAATTGTCGAGCCACCTCTCCAGCCTACTAGCCACTTTTTGTAATGTAACTATAATTACATCACTGAGGCGTAAGGAGGTGTCAACCAAATTGAAGTTAATAATGGGACGTTATTAATTGAATACTTACTGATGCCATGTAACTGAGTTGATCACTTCTCCACCAGCCTTCAGGAAACTAGAAGAGAAGTTCCAGAGATGGGGTCACTGACCCTCAAACAAACAAGGCCATTTCAGGAGAGCACGGTTCCCTGGAAATGGCTGATTATGATGTGAGTCTCAGGCAACACAGACAGCCTATCACATGTGACATATGATCCAGAATCCTTGGGATCTTAAGCCAGTGTTTCCTCTTTTGGTAAACCATACAATTAAGCAGCAAACTGTTTAATAATTATGTGTTCTACTGGGGATTCTCCACAGGAAAGGACTGTTTATCTGGAAGAAAAGTCATTCTGCTTTCCTGCCAAGAAAGCACCAAAAGCTAAGAAGGAAGCCCTGTCCCTCTCAGAGCTGATGCCAAGGCCACTGAAAGACAAGAAGGCAGCGCTGAGAGGCATCCACAGCCACATAGAGAAGAGCTGCACATCAACCCCCTGCTGCAGCCCTGTAGCTCCAGAGGCAACCCAAATACCTCAGCAAGAACATCCCCTGGAGAAACAAGCCTGACTCTTATGTTTTGCCATCATCTAGCTCCCCCTGACCCCTGAGTCAGTCTTGGAGAAGACAGACCATCATCAGCATGTTCCAGCTCATTGTTTATGTCAAAGCCAACATGAGTCAGATAAAACAGACTGAGAGGAGCCTCCAGGACATCAACATGGCCAAAGGCAATGCCTTGTTCAGGCCTGATAGAAGGCACATGCGTGACTGCCTCTTTATACAATGTTTGTATGTTGTTAACAAAATTGAGGTCATCTGAACTGAGTTCAGCAGGCAAGTTTTAAGTACACATTTATTTTTAACTATTAAAAAAATAAGAAGGCTCCAGGCAGTGTAACACTTACCTGTAGTCCAGAATTCAGGAGGCAAAGACAGGTAGATCTCTGAGTTCTAAGCCAGCCTGGTCTACAGAACAAGTTCTAGGACAGCTGGGGCTACATAGAGAAACCCTGTCTTGAAAAACTTAAAAAAAAAAAAAGAGGAGGAAGAGAACGAAGAGGAACAAAGAAGAAGGAGGAGGAAAGAAGAAAGAAAGAAAGAAAGAAAGAAAGAAAGAAAGAAAGAAAGAAAGAAAGAAAGAAAGAAA